CCGATTCCTTTTACCCCAAAATCTGCCCGACTCCATGACTCTGACTCCACAGCACTGAGTATTTGTCCTGTGCTAATCTGCGAAACAGTATTATTAGAGCAGGCACACTGGACTTAAAAAATTCCTGCAGAATAGGCTGGCTGCATTGGTGTTTTAATAGTTTTTTTCATGTATAATGGAAGTACAAGCCAGTTTCTCACAGAAAGTCCTCTATGAAGGTAAACCATCTCATCAGTAGCAGTCTTCTCGCATGATTTGCCATGTTGTTAAAGAAAACAAAAAGCCTGATGTTTTCCAAACAAAATGGAAACGTTAGCATGTTTCGGAATCTGTGGAGTGTAATAATAAGCTATTTAACAGTTGTCATTCTTTTCAGTTTATTCATATCTGTGGGAATGAATTATTATCTCACTGCAAATGTGTATTAGTGTGAAGAAGCTAATAATAATTTAAGTGAAATTCTTGAGATAATAGATGTAACCAAACTTATGTATTGACAGCTATTTATGTATCTTTTATCTTCTACTTCTTTCAGTATGTGTCATTTTAAGTTAATACAGTGGGTATCTTCATATCCATAGGCAATACATTCATTAGACGTAACCATAGTTATCTGAAATTTTGGATAATTCAGAATGCTATTTAATGCAGTTTGATTGCATTATCGTATGATTATGATATGATATGATTACATTATGGTTTGTATTATGATACAAATACTGTATTAAAAAGCATTCTGAATGATCCAAAGTTTATGATATGATGCGGTGCTTATGCAGCACATAAATTCGGTAATGTTTAGATATTTATGTGTTAAAACATTATTAACATTAATTAAAGTAGTAAAATGTTTGCAGTGCACTTTCTCTACCTCTCGTCCATTTATAAGTAAGGAATTCTGATGCTTTAATGGGCTTTAGTACCCAAATGGCTATAGGATCCTATAGCCATTTGGCTACTAGAGGCCAAATCAACTAGAGGCTACATTTGGCTACTTGCGACTATAGACCAAATCCCTATAGTCACAAAGCAATAGCAATTTCCTCTGTTCCACCAGCAGTTTCTGTTACCACTAGCAGGTTCTATTTCCAACAACTTTTTATGTATGTGGAGTATTATCTATGTGGAATATGTGATTTGAATGTGTACATTTTCTCTCTTAAAGTTCTCAATAAGTCTTGCCTCATATTATGCAAGTAATTCTTTTAGATTTTCCATAATTGATAAGTCTAACTTTGTCCATTTTAATAGTGTCGAGAGATGATCAAATTCTGAGAAAATGCTATACCTGCACTGTATAATATCATTTACAGTTTCAAGTGAAGACAGGACAATAAAATCAAATTTCTAAAAGTACTACATAAACAGCGAACAATGATCTAGGTGCTTTCCTAGTGATGTTCACTATCAAGCTGTACAAAGACAGTACTGGTTGCATTTGGGAAGCAGTATTTCTCAAAGTTGCAACCATTTTATAATTTTTCTTAATTTGTAAAATTTCTTTTGGACTGCTCTTACTTGTGAGTATAAAAATATAACTAATTTAGTCTAATGTCTGACATGGGTTGCTTTGATATGCAACATGTTTAAAAAAGTTGGAATAGGTTTTACCTGCTTGCAGATTTGGTATTTCTTGCTAGGCAAATATTTGTTATCATTGTACACCGGAGAAAATAAAAAGATAAATTATTTGCATTCATGTTTTCAGTTGTTTTTATTATCTAATCTAGACAAAACTGTTTCTGATTACCAAATCGATCAAAATAAAAAGATGACTATGTTGGGCTTTTTTTAGCCTTCCGGATCTTGAATCATCTCATCAATCTTCATTAATCATATGATGATTACAGTTTTCTTTTGTGTTATTGTCAAACAACATATATGAACATTAGGCTAAAAGGCAACCATAAATTGGCATGTAATATTAATAAATTCTATCAAGAGTAATCACATGCAGTCTTCCTTTTTGATCAGTAAAAAAATATTTTCTAATAATAATTCCTAATTTTAAATTCTACGTTGACATGTTTCTCTTCCAGTGTGATTGTATGAACATTTTATTCTTTTCAGTTATATTTTTGAAATTTGAAATTTGTGGAAATTATCTTGTCTCTAATACAGTATAGTGTAGTACTTTGACTTCCAAACTACGTAATATGAACTTTTTGAGATTCCTTAAATGATGAATGTTTTACATCCCATGTTAGCCTCTAAATATGAACTTTTTTCATATCTCAGTTTGGCATCTAGATTTGGACAGTCAAAAGTTTACAGACTAGGAAATAGTATTTTTAGGACACAGGCTAATAGAAAAGGAGATTAACTTTCTTTTTCTGCACCAATACTAGTTATGACTTGAAGATACAACCACTATTGGTTTATCATGATGAAAATCCTCAAATCTTTAATGGCAGAATGTTAATAGGCACAAATTTAATGTTACAGGAGTAAGTAAGTTAATAAGAGATCTAGAATAACTATGCCATTTCTTTTCTGAACAGATGCAAAGTATTCACTCCCACCATAAAATGTTATCTATAAGAAAAGGGTCTACTCCAGAAAGTTTTCCAGCTTATCTGCCATAGTTGAGAAGGGGGAGAGAGATTTCCTTAAAAGTTTGTTTCACCAAAATTAAAATCTTGCTGTCTAATACTACTTTTCTTAACAACCAGTGGATTTATTGCCAATTCCAAAAATGCTTCATATTATAGCTGTTTTCCAGAGATGTTTTACCACTGGATACAGAATTAAGTATCAGGGGATTCTGGAAGAAGTATTCTTCATTGTTTGCATCTTATTAATCATACATGGGAAGATGTTTCTGTTTAAGCACTAAAATCAGCTGGGGAAAAGCAGATTCAATTGCATACAAAGAATTGCTTTTTGGAAAGACTTAAAGCAAGACTAATACAGTCAAAAGTCGTTAATTCGGACACCCATAATGCGGAATGATGTATAATCCGGATCTCAAAACTAAAAACTTTCTGCGCGTGCGCCGCATTGACACATGTGCATAGGCGTTTACGCGTGCACGTAAGACCTTTTACGACTGCGCATATGAGTGTGCGCAAGTGCAGAATACGTTTTCGCGTGCGCGTTTTATGTATAATGGACGTATCAGCTAAAATGATCTAATTATCTATTTCAGTTAATGTTGATGATTGTGGTTGTTCCTTAATTTTCGAATTGGATCCGGCTTATTATTTTTTGCAGACTGTTAGAGCAATTTTATAAAAGTAAGCTTGAACTTTCGATTATATCAAATAGAATTTCCGATATATATTTACTAATATGTAAAGGATCTAAAGCGAAAGTATGTTTTGAAATCCGAAATCTGTTCAAATCATTTCACGCTGCTCGGCGGGGGGAAACGCCGCGGCGGGCACAATGAATTGGAAGTTGATCTGTCAGCACTATCCTTATCTTCAGGGCAGATGTTTTTATTTTATTTGGCTTATAATTCCTTACCAAATGTAGTATTTCATCTCGATATGCTCCGTCTTTGATATGATTTAAAAAACAAGTTCCTCGTCATTATAATTCGCTTCCGATAGCGAAGAAAATGACAGAGGTTATTGAAAACGAAAAAATTTCGATTGACAAATTAGTCGGTATTCTCGACACAGCAATTATAGGACTTGAACAGCGGAACTTTGTAACTGAACAAGAAATTATGTCTGTTTAATAGAATTAAAGAGAAAGTATTATCACATGAAACGAAACAAAACTTAAACAACTTACATTGAAAGAAATGTTTAATAAAGTAAACAAATAAATATTAAGCTTTTTCTTTTTGCAAATTTTGATACCCTTTAGATCATAATTGTTCTTTATTTCATAAATTACGGTTTCATATTTTTAATTTTAGAATTTCTGCATGCCATCTTACGAGATTTAAACTGATGATCTATAATCCGGAAAAATCGATAATCCGGAATCGCCGAAGTCCCGACGAGTCCGGATTAACGACTTTTGACTGTATTATAGATAGATTACTGTTGTTTCCTTGAGTACGCCATGCATTTAGAAATTAAAAAAGTAGCTGTAGAGGAATTGGTACAGAACCACAATGTTAAGCTAGTTGTTGGAGTGCTACAGGAGCTTCAAAGTGAGCAGGAAAAATAAAAGTTTGAAGAAGTCTTCAAAGAATAAAGAAGATAGCAATGAGTTAACTAAATATGATTAAAGAAACAAGTGTAGATAATGAAACCAAAATGTAAAATCAGTCACAAAAAATTGATTAAAAAAATTGAATGATTCTTTTTATACAAAGCATGTAAAACAAAAATTTATAAGTAAAATTAATAATTTCTACGTAAATACGTACTATATTATTTTTTTCCTCAAATTCTAGATCTGGAGACAAATTGATTTTTCATAAGATAAAATGAAAAACCGGTTTTTGCAATAGAAACTGCAGACAGAAATGAATTGAGTTCATAAGTCACTGTATTAGAAAATACTAGAAATCAAACATAGTCAGTATCAATAGTCACTGTATTAGAAATCAAGCTAATTCATTGCTGCTAATTCTGAAATATCTGCAACAGGTTCATGAAACATATGAGCTTAAATTATTTTTTGAAATTCAGTGTCCTTTATCACCTGAGAGAGGAGGAAAATATTGCAGTTTTTAGGACCATTAAAAATAAATTTAAGCTATTTAAATAATTTTTAATACTGTATTAACCGTTCAATCAGCATAATTATCCTTAAGCTACTTTGCTGCAATTCAGTGAGTAGAGAAAAGTTTTTTCATAGGTAATCATGCTGAGTGAAGGGTTAAAAGAATATGAAGAGTTTTTTTTAGTGTTAATTGAAATTTGAAAACCTGCAATAGAAGTATAATCAGCAGATTGCTATAATACAGTCCATGAATAAACATGTGTTTCATCTTTAAATTTACTTAATATATGCATTGTAACGGAATTAAATCAAATCTGATTTTAAGTATTGTTGAAGTGTTCTTATTTCTTTTCTTTTTTTTTTTTCTTTTGTAGGCCTCTTAGTCTGTAAGTCAAGGTTTTACTGCATCTGTAAGATACTCATAATCAGGACTTATAGAACATCTCTGAGGAATTACCGTTGTGCATTAATTATAAGTTATGACAGACATTTTAAACACAAGTTTACAAGCATATTCTGTCAAGCCTTACTTTTCACTTTATATGCTGTTGCTTCTATATATTGATTTTGGCCATTTCAAAATTTCTCAGCATCTGTTTATCTAGTTTTAAAAAAAGAAAAATGTTAAAATTTTTAAGAACAGTGCAATAAATTTTTCTAGTCACTTTCTTTGTCTTTTTCTTTTTGAGGAAAAAAAAAAAAGTGCATTTGCTTTATGTAAGACTTAAGAATTCAAATGACCTTCAGCCATTCTAAAGGTAAATGTTTGTTCTTTTTAGAAATCTATGAAACATAGGATTATTTCACTTAATTTCTTTTCCCAGTAATGAGTTTAAAGTGCATTTTAGAAATGGATTCAGTAATAGGTCTGCAGACATGCATATGTATTATAGCAGTGATGTTTATATATTTATCTACATACAGTGCTATTTTTACAAGCATAGGTTACATATCTCTAACCCAAAGTGCCTGCTAGAAAGGATATTTTCTATTTTAAATTACATGATGTAATGAAATATGAAGAAGGGAAAGAAATAATTATGAAGCTTTTTCTTCAGTATAAAAAAATATAAAATAATGAAAAGTGTAAATGTATTTACCATTTTGGGAAAGAAAATCAAAATAAGTTGAGAGTCTGAATCTTCTACAAACAAAGAAGAGACGTATTTATTGATTACTTTCTTTTTTCCTTTTTTAAATTATAAATCTCTTGCTGTGTCATTTATTTTATTTTTGAGGTTTCTTGGTCTAAATTTTGTCTTTTGTATATCTAAAAATTTATTTTCAATTCTGTAATATTGTTTCAGTCATTTTACCCCATTTTCTTCCTCTTACCGTGTGTTCAAATGTTTTCCTTATCCCAGTATATTTTGATTTAGATGATGCATTGCAAGTGAAATGTAAAACTAAAAACATTTTATTTTAGTATACTATAAAGGCAATAATTTTAATATTTACTAGTATTTTAGTATACTATAAAGAAACAAATTTATTATCTGTAGTAAATATTAATATAAATTATTTATCTACTTATTAACTCGGGAATCATTACATATTGGGTTGCATAAAAAGTATTAAGCCTTTAGAGGTCAAAATTGAGAATGCATTTATTGTTATTAGAAATTAACATTATAAAATCAAATATGCACTGATTTGTTTGCTGAACTTCTGTAATTTTTCTTACAACACCATAATACCATTGAAATTCTGTGGTTTCTGATAAAAAAATTGGCATGGTTTTTTTATAGACCTCATTTGAAACTAACTTAACACCATTCAGGGAGTTCTGTAAAGACCAAAACAAACTATTGTCTGATCGTGCTAATCAGAGCTGTATGGTGGATGCATTAAAAGTTGTCTCAGTTTCTAATAAGTTGTTAAAGATGTGTGCCATCTGGCATTGTGAATATGGTACATGATACTTTTTGTGCTGACAAATTCTGGCCTGTCTTTTGAATTGCTAGCTGCTGCTGTTCTGATTGTTGACAGTGCAAATCTGAGTCTATCATTCTGTCTGGCAGCAGCTGCTCTTCAGGCTTCTGCTGCCAAGCAGCAAGGAGTGTCTTGGAGCAATTATCTTGAGCATCAGAGGGGCATTTTGGAACATAAAAATTTCCACCATGAAAGTGTCTGACTCGTCTTTCAGCTGTTGCTTTTGATACTGTATCTTGCTCATAAACAACACAAATTTCTTCATGGGGCTATACAACATTTGTGCCTTTATCAAAACAAAATTGTAAAATGTAACGTAGTCTTCTGGAAAATTAACTGTATTCTTAGTGCAGTGCATAACGTCTGAGTGTAAGAATTCAACACTTTTTGCACATGTATTAACTTCAAATGACATTCAATCTGATCCGCTATACCCTGATATATGGGACACTAATGCTATGTCATGAACAAAAGGCTGAGTACTTTTTAGACTACACAAGATAATGAACTTAAAAAAGAGAGTATTTTTATAGTTTTGTTGCCCTTCTTTGAGACCTACGTTTAGCTTTTTAATGCATTTTTGGATGTGTAATTTCACTTCAACTTAGGTAATTATTGAAAAAACCTTTTGCTGCAATTTCAGCCTGCCATTCTAAGTTGCAAAAAATACCATATTTCTTCATGGTTTAGACTGTGCTATATCAACATCATTGAAGTCAGACTTCTTCATGAGTTTTTCTTTAGCTGATAGAATGTGCAAGTGACTGAGCTTTACATAAGATAGAGTTATCCATCAGGAATTTTGGAAGGATAAGAAGATGCATAAAACATACAGTTGTGTTTACTGAGTTTTCCAGACATATATGTAAGAATGATTTAAATTACGACCTCTGTACTGGTAACTTTCTGTGCCTGTGATAAATTTGCGAACATAGTTTTTTAAGAGTTTTATATCACATTTAAGAATATCTTTGTACTGAGATCAATGTATGAAGTTACTCTCAGAAGGAAGTGCAAGAGTAAAACCTTATTTCTAATTAGCAATTCAATGGCTAAATGATTTTTAACATGTAATGGGTCTTTTTGGTCTGGATATAACTGAAATTCGTAATATTAGTGGATTTTTTACTTTACTAAATCTGGAATTTCTCAATGTGAGAAATTATATGTACACGTGCTCTAAAGGCTTCGCACACTGGTCAATGAATTAGAAACCTTTGAGATTTTCATTTGAATGTGTGCTAGGGATGAAGTATAAAATTTTTTTTATGACATGGGTTACACGTGGTTAGAATGGTAGTATAAGTAAGATGTAAGAGTGCTTTTCACAATGAATGAAGCAAAATGGGAAAAACAACACTTCTTTCACCATTTGAAAAAGGGTTTGTTGTTGCTGCCCGTTTAGCAGGGGCCTCGATTTCGAAGACAGCAAATCTCACTACGTTCTCAAAAGCAGCCATATCAAAGGTTTTCAAAAGTTGGAAACAAAACCCACAGTCCTTTAGAAGACGTAACTGCGATTCGAGCGCAGTTTTCCAGGAGAGTTATCAACTTCGTCTCCGACGAACTGTACGGCAATATGGGGACTCTACTGTGCTTCAATTGACACAGATCGTGAACCAAAGCTCTTCCTAACAGATTTCAGCTTGAACCATGCACAGAGAATTGGAATGCATATTCGGGTGCCTGTGAGAAAACCATTCATTTCTGCCCAACATGCAAGAATTTGTTTGCAGTGGTGTCGGGAAAGAAGACATTGGACATCTGAGGCTTGGAAACTGATAATGTGGTTGCATGAATCACACCATACCTTATTTTGCACTGATGGAAGGCGTTGAATTTAGTGAGAATGCCATGAATCCATCTTGCCTTATTCGTACTGTGCAGGGTGTGGTAGGAGTATCATGACATGGGGCATGTTCTGCTGCCATGGAAGTGGTGCCCTAGTGTTTCTTGAGGGTAAACAAACAGCCATAAGATACCTAGATATGCTGGCTCAAGTGGACCTTGCAATGCTGTATTTTTACCCTGATGGCGACAGATACTTTATAGATAATACATGGTCCCAGAAGTGTTCAAAATTGGTTCGCTGGACATCAGTCTGACCTTCAACACCTTCCCTGGCCACCACATAGTCCAGTCTTAACTCCATAGAAAATGTGTGGGATATCGCATTACCATGCATTGGCTATGCAGCTTATCAGATCTTGTAAATTCCATGTAATGTGTAGAAAATGTGTGGGATATCGCATTACCATGCATTGGCTATGCAGCTTATCAGATCTTGTAAATTCCATGTAATTTAAGAGATAAGCTGTGTTAACCATTATACCGTCCAAGAGACCCAGTAATGATTTCTGCATCATTGAATTTATTATGTTTAACAGATATTATACTCATCCTTATAGGACCCAGCCATACAACCAGGTCTTACCGGGGAGTTGAACTCAGCCCTTGCTTTCAAGCTAGCAGTCAGCCTGTGGTAACAATTATACCGTCCAAGAGACGAGACCCAGTAATGATTTCTGCATCATTGAATTTATTATGTTTAACAGATATTATACTCATCCTTAAAATTTTATTATCGTGCATTTTTTAAAGTTCTGAAAGCAGATTGTAGAGTATTTTCTTTTAAAAATTTTTGTCTTTGTGATGTGTTTATTTCTTAATCACAGAATCTTCAGATATTTTCCTATTTTTCATTAATATATGTTCATTTATCACATAAACTTTATTTGAGTTTTGTTTCTATATAAAGTTCTTTATAGAAAACTTAAAATTCATGCTAGTAAAGATTTACTTGAACTTCATTACAGCTTTAAATGCTTCTTTCTTTTCATCTTACGTTACTTATAGGTTTATCGCTGTCAGATCTTTTGAAATTTGAATGATGGTTAAACAGCATGGTCTTAGAATTTGTGTTTACAAAACTTTATTTTCCTATGTTTGGAAGTAAATGGATCTCACTGACCGTTGTCTTGTAGTTGCCTTTGTAGGTAAATGAATTGTATTGACCGTTGTCTTATATTGTTGTTAAAGCCACCAGAGGAGGGTAAGGGCATGAGCGAATGGTGTTATTTCAACCCTCTGATAGCGAGATCCGTGAATATCGTGTTTACTTTTATTCTGAATATACAGGAGGAATATTCAGTTTCATTGATCAGTTCCACAGAAACCTAAGATTTCAACTGCGATCAGCTTCGCAGAAGAAAAAAATCTGATACACCACATGACTTTCTTGTACGGAATATTAAATTATACGCATTTTTTTCTTGCATTTCGTTTAAACTTATTGGATTTAATTAAATCTACTTCGCCGACAGCGCATAAACCACAATAGAATAAATGCATTCTTTAAAATTCACTCTATTTGTTTAACATAGCGACACTCTGGCGCTAGGTTCACTTAACAGTATGGTTCCTTTCATTATTATAATGCACAAATAATTTATATCATTAAAGAATTTTAATCGTTGCCACATGTTCTATTCAATACTATAATAAAGCTAGAACGTGTATAAAAGAAATGAGCAAACAAAACAAAAAAGAAACAGTTTTTCACAGACGATTGAGTATTTCTCATTCAATTAATTCAGTTCTCATCAGAGTTGTAGCTAGGGTTTTCAGTGCCCAGGGACAACTGAAGATTTCGCGCCCCCCTACTGCTTGCCAAGGATGGAAAACATTTAATTCTAAAATATCGTAACATCAGTTCGGCGCCCCTTGGATTCTG